CAATGGCAGAGTTATATAAAGCAAAACCTGTTTCTCAGAATTGACTTACCAGTTATGGAGACAAAGGAGCCCTGGGATATACCACTGACAAAATGAAGACCCGGGAGAACTGGCAAAAGTTTCAGGCAGAGTCTGCAGGCAAGAGAATTAGAAGGCTCAGAGGTGTGTGTTCCAGTTAAAGTCCTAAGACATATGTGGGGACATTGATGTCCCCACACAGAGACAAGCAGAATTTCCCTGGTTAGCCTTGTGTTCTATGGAAGATACCCATATTAGAAAAAGCTATTTATTATTTATTTTTATTCTTATTTATTTATTTATTTATTTATTTATTTATTTTAGTTTACTCAGCTTAATGTTAATCTCATCTAGAAATACTCTCAGAATAACATTGGGAGAAGTCTGAGGGCAGTTTTAAGTTGACAGAGAGAGTCACTGTAGCCCTGCCTCAGTGACTCCTAGATTTGCTTCCATGTCCAAGGAGCTCTGCATCTTTTCTTAAAGATAAACTGAATGTGGAAACCCTGAGGTGCCTGCTACTGGAGTACCAATGCTTCCACACTTTTTCATTGACTGGGGCCAAATATATATATATTTGTAGGACATGGTTCCCTCTGATACCTCTGACTCAAATCTGACACTACAGGCTTCATTTTAGCCTTTATCTTTCCCTGTTAGTATGCCTTCCCCTAAAGTAAGAAATCTCCCTCTCATTGTCTGTTCTAGAAAGAGTCTGTGATAACAGCCTGGTCACAAGGGCAGGAAGCTGGATAATCATATTTGCATACACACAGGAAGCAGAGGGAGTAGATGGGGGCGGGGAGAGGGGAGAGGCAGGGAGAACAGGATATAGGTGAGGCTTTAAAACCTCTCAAAGCCAATCGCAGTGAGACTTATTTCCTCCATCAAGGCTCCACCCTCTAAGGGTTTCAAAACCTTCCCAAACAGCTGAGAATCAAGCACTCCAATGCGTAAGCCTATGAAGCCATTTCTCAGTTGAAGCACCACATTTTGCTTATGTTATTTGTTAATATGCAGATTATCAATGTAAAGTAATTGGTTACATTACATTATATAATTTTCATAAATTTTTTAAAGTTTCATAAGTTTTGTTTCTTAAAATGAATTTTAGTTGTCAAAATTTGACTAGCACTACTATATAGGCCTTACAGGTAAATAATAATAATAATAATAATAATAATAATAATAATAATAATAATTGGTTGACCAACAAATATTTAGACCTATGAAATAGGATTTTTATTTCAGACCTTTTAGCTTCAAAAAAATTGGTCCACTAGTGGCAAAGTTGTACCAATTTCTATGGAAACATTAACTGGTCACTTAATTTATATGTCAAATTTTAAGAGTATCTTCATTTTTTACACCTATGCAATATTCTGGATCCTCATGAAATTCTCCATTTAGCTATAATAATCATATTTTTTAAGCGAGCATTAAGAAGTTACAAAGAACTTGCAAATAAAAAGAAGAAGCTACAAAGAATTACAGGTGTGAGCCTATCGTCAGTGCTAAGTGTTGTTATAGCCGCAGTAAGGAACCAGCTTTCTACCTGGTGAACATGGTGTGTAAAGGTGAAAGAATATCACTCAAATGGCAAGAAAGTGAAATCCACAATTCTATGTTTAAGTAGCTCCAAGGTTTAAAGGAACAAGTTTGACACATCCAGAAGTTTCAAGCCAACAATAGGCTCTGATAGGAGAAGATTTAAGGTCAGTGGACTATTTCCATCACAAACCTCCTTAAGTCAAAAGCTACTTGTTTATTCCAATTGGCCAATACCAAGAATAATCTGGTTCTTCCTCCAGTCAGACAATCTCTGCAAGACACCCTCCTGGCATTCTCTCTGACCCAGAAAAACTGTCTACACTTCACACCTCCTGCTCTGGCCTGGCTGCATTCCACTATCTACTTTCTGCTTTTATTATAGATTCATTTTTCACTTGCCCCTTGCCAGATAAAACAAAATCTCAGAATGGTGAAGGCTAAATAGTTTTTTTTTTTTAAGTGCTGAAAAGTGGCAAGATTTACATGGTGGGATAAAACAAATAGGATAAAGGATATGATTGAGGAGAGATGGTATTCTTCCAGTTTTAATGGAAAACACCTCTTTTCTCCCAGTTTTATTGCCATTGGAGGGAGCACCCCTATAGTGACAGGTTTCTAATATTTTGCATTATGAATATCAGACCTAGAGTACTCCAAAACTTTGGTTCATTTCTCTTATGTGCTAATGATGTTATTAATCCCAAGCCATTAGATATGATTTTTTTTCTTTTTGCACATCTGTTTCTGAAGAGAAAAAAAATCTACAGATTGTGTGAAAACATAACCCATAATTTATAGGGCTTGAGCTGGCTATGTATCTCATTGTCTGGGGTTGTAGTGACTCCATTTAAACTTTTCTCTTTTATGAATACAGGTAGTGGCCTATCATTGTATTACTAATGTTGACTGTTTCCTTTGTTTTGTTAGACTTTGCCTAGATTGAACTTTAAGTTTTGGGTTATTTCTGAGTAAGTAACTCTTATATTGGATAAAAGTCAAACTTTAATCTTAACTTTGCAATATATTTTATACATGTTAAATTATATATCAAAAAAGCTTCATGCTACTTGTAAATATTCAGTAACACTTAAGAGACAATCACTGTTAGCAATTCTCCTTAAAGGTTGCTATCAATAATTCATGTTGTCTTTCCTCATCACCTAGTAGTTGTAAATATGTCTGTTGCTTTTAAAATCAAGAACTCTCTTCTTGAAAAATATGTAAAATACTTGTCAAGGAAAGCCAAGTCCTAGATACTGTGGCTATGTCAGTATCCTACAGTTGTATGGCAACTGCCTACAAGTAAATGTGTGGAGCACTACCTTTATAGTTATCATGTACTAAAATGCTTAATAATGATAGCTCCTGAGGCTCAAGACAGATATATCTAGTTGTTGGTGGAATATGTTATTTCTGACTTGAGTGAGATAATATGACACCGTGGTTTAGAGCTGTTTAAGACTTAGAATGGAACTGTTGATCAGGGATAACTTTCAAAGCTGAGAGATGGATGATGAGGAATAAGCCCAGACATGGAGCATGTCCTCTTAGGCCCCTGTCAGTATCTCCTCAATCATATTACAAAGCTTCATTTGACTTTAACTATCCCTTCCACATCTATTTTGGCAAGATGTAAACTTGGCTTTCCTGTTTTGACTAGTATCACAGTTAATCTATCTTTCAAGGTCTCTCCAGAGCAATCTTTTAAAAAGAAGACTCAGTTCTCTATCTCAGATTCAAGACAGTGTTCGCTAGCCCCTGCCTACCAAACTGTCTCACTCATTACACTCCAGATTGAGCTTATGTCGTACTTGTACTTAGCAATTGATGACCCTCAATAAGCCACTGAGCTGTCAGAACAGCCAACATCTTATTTCCTCTGCCAGGGGCACTCAGCATTCTGTCTTCTTCCATTGTAGTTCACTTGGCTTCTTCTTGTTTTTCAAATATTTTTCTGACATATCATTTTTGCCCCTAGCAACTTTTCCCTCTTTTTTTTGCCATCACCATAAGTATTATGTTATTTCTCTTCTTCTCTGAAATCTCTGAGGCCTTTAGCATACAGAAAAGATATTATCAACTAACAGTGCTCCTAACAGGGTCATTTCTTTCTTGAAGTCAGTAAAATCTGGTGCAGAATTAATACCCAAAAGAGTTTTTGAGTTCATTGGCAGAGTTGTTGTTTGGTAAGCTTTTAAGGCTTTGAGATTCCTAGATTGCAGTTGGAATTGTGCTGACTGTAAGGACAGTGGTAGTGGGTACCTACATCTGAAGGTCTTGTTGGCGCAAGGAGTGGATGAAGAGACTGTCCCTCCAAAGCTAGGACTGGAAGGATAAAATCCCAGTAATACATATTGTGAGGGTGTCCCAAAGCAGCGCTGGACTCAGAGCTGTGATCTCACTTTGCAGGTCAGTGTGGATCTGCCTTCTCCTCTTAAGCAAAACTTTCTTGTTTTAAAACCCTTGGCATGCCAAGTCCCTTCCTCATTGATAAGCCCACAGAGACGGTTTGAAACTGGCTGGTCTTATTAGAGTCTGGGGAGAATCTTTGAGACAACGCAACACTTAACAATCAAAAAATAAGTAAGTAAAATAAAATGGATCTTACTAACTGTAAAACCTTTGCCTTTGCTCTAGGAAATGTGTCCAGTTGGCATGTCTACAAGAAATGACCTGCTTTCCTCCTATTCTTCTTCTGTGCCAAAAAGCAGAAAGAAAGAAAGAAAGAAAGAAAGAAAGAAAGAAAGAAAGAAAGAAAGAAAGAAAGAAAGAAAGGAGGGGAGGGAGGAGGGAAGGAAGAAAGAAAAGGAAGGAAGGAAGGAAGAGAAAGAATAAAGATTAATCCATGACACATGGATGAATTCCAACATCAGCAAGAGCACATATTAACGTTTTAAATGAATTATTGTTTTAGTACACACCCTAAGGTTGAGAATGAAAGAACATCCAGGACTAACAAATTTGATTGTTCTGGCAAAGGTGCCTTTCAATTCATGCAGGCATCTCTTCGTTTTTCTTTTTCTTTTGGTATTCCAACCTCATTAAGAAAAAAGTTAATCCTTGAACTAGTGATTTTTAACATTACTATGTTTCATTCATTTTCCTCCAGGAGAACTTCTACCTCCAGACCTCTTGAGGGCATGATTCCTAGAGTTTGCTTATTTAGTTGTAGGGACAGCTGTCATTCTGTTAGCAAGTTCATTAGACCATGGACTTTGCTTTATTGCTTTCCAAGCAAGGCCGAGATTTTGGCTTGGAAATATGAGTACGACACAACTTGCCCTTCTTAGATCCCTGAAAAGGACTTTAACATAGAAGTTCAGACATCAAATTACAACTGAGTAATAAAAGGACTCAAACATATAATCATATTGTGATTACTATTTATCTCACTCAAATTCCTACAAAATGTGGATTTTTTTTTCCCCTAGGCAAATATTGGAAGTCAATCAAGATGGTAGCTGTTGCAAGGGGCTGTGCTCTGCCTCGTTCTCAGCTGCAAGAGGAAACAGAGACCGTTTCTGCACTAGCTTCCCTGACAGTGGATGTGGAACAGCCATTTGCTCAGGAAGATGGCAGGTATGGATGCAGCGCATGGTCAGTGATGTTCAGACTCCTTGTTGGCATTCTGGAATGTTCTTCCTGCTTCTTCTTCCCCTACATGTTCTACTTCCTCCACCTGTGTTCTCCAAAGCCACAGGTGGCAGAGAAGATGCTGTAGGCTGTGGAGAACACGACTGTTTCTTTCTCTCTGTGAAAAATCAGACCTGGAGCATGTGGTTCACAGAGAAAGAGAGAATGAGACAGAGTGAGAAAAATCACTCCTTGTTGGGTAATTTAGTGCAGATCACTGTGGACAGAGCTGCTTGGGGCTCAACTTCTCCTTCTTATCCCTGTTTTCCCAGATGTTCCCTTTTTTCCTCTCATCATTTGAAATTTCTGATGTAAAAAAGGGAGCACAGGAGGCAGAAGCTGTGTGTGATGCTGGTCAGGGGCCAGCAATTATATACACATGTGAGTGTCCTTGAGGTCTAAATGGATAAAGATAGAAGGTGCTTGTCAAGGAGACAGGTGTGTTGAAGGATTAGGAGCACTGAGCCTGACTGTATTCTATATAAGAGGAGAATGTTCTTAATTTGTTTTCATAGATACATAGATGGGGGTGTAAAGCTAGCCTGACACTATGCTTGCTTGTTGCTATCAAAGAAATCATTGTTAGTTTGTACATTCTGCCATCCTGGTGACAAGGCTACATTCAGTATTTCTTTATAGTGCATGCTGCCCACTATACTGCATGTTTGAAGCCATACTGGTGTTCTCCATAGCTGGTGGCAAAGTCACACCCTTTCTTGGGGCATGTGTCAAACAACACTCAGCAAAAACTCTGGGACTTTCACTCACTCTTTTTATTTTTTTAATTTATTTTTTTTAAATTTATTCACTTTGTATCCCAGCTGTAGCCCCCTTCCTCATCTCCTTCCTGTTCCACTATCCCTCCCTCTTCTCTCTATCCCTCTCCCCTAGCCCACTGACAGGGGGAGGTCCTCTTCCCCTATTGTCTAACCCTAGCCTATCAGGTCCTATCAGGACTGCCTGGATCCTCTTCATCTGTGGGCTGGCTAGGTCACCCTACCAGGGAGAAGTGATCAAGGAGCAGGAAACCAAGTTCATGTCAGAGAATGTCTCTTCTCCTCTTACTAGGGAACCCCCATGGAGACTGAGCTGTCTATGGGCTACATCAGGGCAGGGGGGCTGTGTCATCTCTATGCATGGTCTTTGGTTGATGCATCAGTCTCTGTAATCCCCCCTGGACCCAGCTTTTTTTTTTTGCTTTATTGGTCTCTTTGTGTGCCTCCTGTCCCCTCTGGGTCCTTTTATATCCCCCTTCTTTCATAAGACTCCTTGAGCTCTGCACAAAGTTTGGCTGTGAGTCGTCTCTTCATCTGCTTTGATCCCCTGTTGAGAAGATTCTTGTAGAGGACATCTGTGGTAGGCTCCTGCCCTCTTCTTTCTCTTCTGCTGCTTCAAGTCTCTACCATGTTTTCCTTTCTGAATGAGAGCTAAGCAACCTCCCTAGAGTTCTTATTGTTTAGCTACTTCAGGTCTGTACATTTTGGTATGGTTATCCTATATTGTAAGGCTAATAATACAATTTGAGTATATACCGTGAGTGTCTTTCTGGTTCTGGATTACCTCACCCAGGATGATCATTTCCAGTTCCATCCATTTGACTGCAACTTCATGATTTCCTTGTTTTTAATTGATGAGTAGTATTCCATTGCAAAAATGTACCACTATTTCTGTATCCATTCTTCAGTAAAGGGACATCTAGGTTGTTTCTAGATTCTGGCTTTTATTAATAAAGCTACTATGAACATGATTGAGCAAATGCCCTTGTTGTATGGTGGAGCACTATTCCCAGTTTTCTGAGAAAGCACCAGATCGATTTCCAAAATGGTTGTACAAGTTTACATTCCCAACAGCAATGGAAGAGGGTTCCCTTCCTCCACATCCTCTCCAGCATGTGCTGTCACTTGAGGTTTAGATCTTAGCCATTCTGATGGGTGTGAGGTGGAATCTCAGAGTCGTTTTCTCGTTTACCCTTAAGTTGCTTCTGAGAAGCTCCCTACATGAGTAACTGTTAATTATACAGAGCCTGCCACTCCCTGAATGCACAAATGTGAACCATCCTGGCTTTCTTGTCTTTTCTGGGCACTCCAAATATGATGGATTTAACATCATGTTTGGATCCAAACAGTTGATAAACTGAATAAGAGATTTCATTTTTATGTCTATATTCTCTCTTGCCATAACCACTTTAGGAGAAGATTCTCAGTGTGGGAAGCTCTTGTGTATTACTGAATAAAAAGGCCTTTTCTTACAGTATCTGGAGAAAAGGGGAAATGTATTTTACATTTTTGATATTATGAACTAGCCCCCCCCGCTGTTCAGAGCAAAAAAGCTGAACCAAGTTCATAATCCAAAGGTGTTGCAATTATTCCCAAGGCCAAAACCAGTTAGTTGTCTGTCATCTGAGAGCCATAAAGCTGAAGAAACTAACATCTGTTAGTGTTGGATACAAAAGAGCAAAGCTATTCTTTAGAATCCATTTAATGCAGAAAAATGAGGTGCATTCCACCCTGGGTGAAGTGAGTTCTAAGTAATTCTGCCATTGAAATTGCAGAGCTTGGAAAAATTAGCAATAACATGAGATGTTGTGAACCCCAAGCAATATAAAAGTCTCGGCACCTTAGCAGCAGTGCCTCTATGGGTATATTTGCTTATTCTGCAGTAAATCACATGCTTGACTCTGATAATCTATAAGAATTAACCCAGCTTTAGTTCACAGAGTCTTTAATCTTCCGCCGACGGCATGTAGGGAATGTGAATGCTTGTGTCTGTGTCCTGATGAACAGGAAGACAGAACGGAAGCCTAGTTTCGTTTCTATTTATTAGACAGATTATACCAAAATTGTGATTGTTTTTCTTTTCTTTTGGGAAAAAATGGGTCAAAGTGAATGATTTTCTATGTTATGTTTTTTGTTGTTGTTGTTGTTGCTGTTGTTTTTGTTTGTTTCCTTCAACAAAGGGGCAGAAGGAAAACTTCTAGAACCACCAGATCCTGTGTTTCGGCTGAACTATGTCTGACTTCCATGAATGGATGATGGGGGAGGGGCTAGAAAGTGAGAGATTGACCAAGGATTGCTATCAGCACTGTCCCCCCTGCTCAGCAGGAAAAGATAAGGGCAAGGCCCCTGAGCCTTTGTTGTGAATGCAATCTTGTAGTCACACAGGAAATTGAAAAATTAGGGGGGAAAAAATCACAGTTAAATTGAGGAAAAGAGCAAAAGCAAATTCTTTTTATAGAAAATTCTTGCCAGATATTTTGGAGGATATATTGGTGTTTGGAGTGAGATGACTCATTTCAAACTCAGATTCTGGGTAAGGCGGCCCTTTTCTTGGCCAACTCATATCTGACTCACTTACCACTAGTGAATAAGGGATAAAACGCTCTTGGCTAAGAACCATTGTAAGTATTTTCTGTTCATTTTCTTGAATGGGGGTGGGGTGACAGCCATTTCATCTTTATGACCACACTTATGGGCCTTGAGAAACACAGTACTGGAGAAAGCTTGGCCAGTGGGAGCTCATGCAAGGGATTGTTCCCAGACACACAGCTGTCATGTGTGATTTTTAGGTGGCAAAGGACTTGAGTGGGAAGGGAATGATGGGTGGGTCAGTAGAACATGGAAAACAAAGCCTGGGCCGTGCCCTTGTGAGAGAGTCAAATTAAAATGAGAGTATAGGCTTGACCATATCCCGCAGACTGTTTTGAGGCAGGTTTCGTGTTTGCTGTGACAGCACGCTTGCAAGGTCTGTGGTGTGCATGTGTAGCTGTTTGTGTCTCAGTGTTTCAACTTTGAGAAAGTTGATAGCAGGCTCCTATTTCCTCCTAGAGGAAAGGTCAGTCTGCCCCTAGTGATTTCAGCATGACCAGCTATTAAGTATTAGGAGCAGGAGCTCATTGGCTCCTGAATTCTTGACTGAGTCATTTTCCTTTTTCAGATGGAAACAAAAGTGAAAGTTAGGTGTCCATATGTCAATCTGGGCTGTTGACTGAAGGGTGAATTTGTGTCCAGTTATCTGAACGTATCTCTTATGCTGGTAGAAAATCATTTAATTTTCTACTTTTGGTAATCTTTCTCTTGAAAGAGGTAGTTTCAAGCCTTCATATCCTTTTTTTTTTTTTTTTTTTTGCATTTAAACATTAATTTTTTGGGGTTTTTTTTGCATTTAAACATTAAATTTGTGTCTCTTTCAGTTAAATTCAGTAATTCTGAGAGTGATTTTGTGGCTTGACACTTGTATTCTTTCAGAACTTGGTGCATCTCTTCAGGTCTCTTCCACCTTTAAAAGTTGTTTAGGGACTGCCTTTAAAAGCTACTTGCACTTTCTCTGCTGCAGCGTTTAACATTCTGTGATTGCATGATCAGCTAAAGGCTGCCTGTGCTCTGGGACAGCCTGACAGCCCCTGCACACACAGGGAACACGAAGTGGCTCTTCTTGTCACTCGTACATTGCATCTCAACTGCAGTTTCTCCTCCCTCCACTCCCCCCAGGACTCTCCACCACCTCTCTTCTCTTCCATATCCACTCCTTTTTCCTTTCCCTTTAAAAGGAAAAAAAAAGTGGGTCTCCCAGGGATATCAACCAAACAGGGCTTAGCAAGTTACCATGAAACTAAGCACAAACCCTCATAAAGAGGCTGGACAAGGCAGCCTAGTAGGAGGGTAAGTGTCCCAAGACCAGGCAAAAAGAGTCAGAGACACCCTGCCCACTCCCACTGTTGGCAGTCCCACAGGAACACCAAGCTACATTACCATAATAGCTGTACAATGGATCCAGATCAGACCCAGGGAGGGTCTTTGTTTTTTGAACCCCCATGAACCCTGCTTAGTTTATTCTCTAGGCCTTGTTTTTCTGATGTCCTCCATCTCTGGCTCCTACAAAACTTACCCCCACCCCACCCCTGGCTTTTCTTAGTGTTTGGCTGTGGTTCTTTTCATCTGTCCCCACCA